ACAGACATTAAACACATTCAAAATGCTGTGACACTGAAATTAAAAGTTATACCAGTGGAGGAGTTTCCAAGAGTAATCGTGTATTTGTACACACGTTGCCAGAGGTGTATAGTGTACGGCGGGGACCATTTTAAAAAGATTTTAAACAGATTCGATTTGAGGCCAACTCAGTGTATGACTTATTTCAACATTCACCACACTTATTGGTCGCACCTTGAAAAATAAACTAATTTTGCAAAAACCATAAATGAATTCGGCTTAGTGTTAAATGTGATCTGCAAGATTAATTGAAAAGCTAAACAATAAAACGCGATATGTTGAAGTGCACAACTAGACGTCATGAGAAGCACGGTCAAACTATTCCGAAGATTTCAAAGAATTAGAGCGGACTAGAGTAAAAATCCAATATATTTGATATTCAAAAGTCAGCAGAAGAAATGCACAAAGATTATTATTTTATTAAAGAATGATTTTTTTGGCTCTTTCCTTGAAGATTTTTTTGAAAAGGACAATGTTGAATATGTGAAAAATAATTTAACATAAGAAGAAAAAAATTCGAATTGGACTGATTAAAAAATATGATGGTTAATTTATAACTAAATACTATAAGAGAATTTTTTTAAGAATTGAAAAGCCACGCGAAAAATGCAGTGACTGATTTGAAGTTCATATATGAGACGAATTAAAGATCAATTTCCTTCATCTTAAAACTGAAGAAATTTAAGTATGCATTGACAGCTATGATAAATAGGGCCGCGAACTTTTTCTTTGACCTGAGTTTGTTTTTTCAAATAACAAAATATCCAGTATAATGTTAAAATTTTAAGTCACGTTTTTTGCCTAGATTATTTACAAATTGAAACTGCTGCGTCTGTTCGATGAATTGTAATTTTATTTATATATTTCAGCCAATGCAATCTCGTTTCAGAAGTGAAAAAACCCTATAATCTTTTATCCCAGATGGAGGGCTGGAGTGTTAACTTATGTGGTTCTAAACAATTGCCAACGATTTAAGACTGATGATCTTAGACAAATGAGAATCGATCAGTTGAGAATAAAATGGAATTTCCTGCTTAGCGTGGAAAAGAATCTAGGCAGGTGAGTCAAGAAGACAGTGGCCCGAATATTGGAGCCAAACCCAGAAGCGTGTGCAAGTATGCAGGCCAGCGAAGACAGTTTTTGCAAGGAAATTCAGGAAAGACATCAATTATGGAAAATATCCTCACGAATTGTTGACTAATTGGCGAATGTTAGTGACACTTTAATAACCAGCGGGAGTGGTCTCCCCTAAACTTTCTCGTATACTTTCTAAATGGAGATTCGTAGTGGAGATACTTTCTCTTTGTATACTTCGTATACGAGAAAGTAAAACAAAAAAAACAAACAAACCTGAAATCAAATATCTGTTGCCACGTTTCAAAAAAATATTACTTTGAAGCAGGCGCGATAAAATAGGCAATGCAATGAATACTAAAGCGAAAATTCTGCTTTGGAATTGAATTCCCAAGAAAATAATTTATACTACCACAACCGTAATAATTGCAAAAGCGCGTGACTAAAAGATTTGCTGAAATAATGAGATCGGTTCGATTTACAACAATAAAAAAATTGTTAACAATTGATGCTTGAAAACATTATTTATTGTTGTAAATAAAATTTACAAAAATAACAGATTGCTACCAATACGCATGCGCATGAGAATCGGATGAAAAGAAATTGAATATGCAATTTGAACGCCTCTTTTTGACGGATTTGGCCCAAACTTTTATACGGACCTACATTCATAACGATAAAACTGTGTACCAAATTTTATCCATTTAGCTATTCAAGTTTTTGAGTTATAGCGTTCACATGACCGCGGACATACAAATAGACAGACTTCCCGTTCACGGATTTTGTCCAAAATTTGATAGAAACCTACAAATTATGTTTAAAGACCACATACCAAATTTCATCCCCATAGCTCTAATAGTTTTCGAGTTATCGTGTTCACAGACAGACACACACACAGACAGACATACAGACATAATTCCAAAATTGTGTCTTTCGGACTCAGGGAGGTCTAAAACGTGGAGATCCGTCAAAATCTCGAGTTCGAATTTTTTGACGATTACAATACTTTCTCTTTGTATATTTCGTATACGAGAAAGTAAAAATCGGATAATTATTTTGAAATACAATTTAATTGTTAGAGATTTAAAGAATTTATTATTCATAATTTAATAATTGCGTAATTTTCTAATGCAGAAATATTGTTTAAGATATAAATGGTCAGCTTAGAGAAAATAGTAATAATTGTCGTAAATATAATATAAAGACTTAATAGTTCGAGTAAACCATCCGAACTTTCTGCAAAAAACTACCATCATATATAGATTATAGATAAAAGAAATCGTTCAGTAAAACATTTTACCAACGCTATTCAAATAAAAATGTGCCTCAGTGCCCACAAAATTTGCCACTTTAAAGGTTATTCATCCGTATACGTCCAAGGAGCATTAAAAGAAATTATTTTCATTGGAATCAGAGAGCAAAAAATGACTATAAGTGCAATAATGTTCATAATAGTTTCAGAAGAGCATAACAGAATTTGGCTTGCAATTTTATATGCAGAAGTAGATTTTCTAGTGTTTATCTTGCAAAATTGTGGTATGACTTAAGGTATCTTGTAGAATTGTTAAAGGCTGGGTGAATATTTTGAAACCACCTTTTTTCTTGCAATTATAAGGCAATGCCTTTCCTGTAAATTGCATTTTTAATTATATCTTTCAGCTTATCCTATCTCGTCCTAGTGGTCTTGAAGAGCAAGCCGTACAAGGCCATTGCAGCATGTTATATTAATTTAAAAATAAAATTTCATTGAAATTCTTTTAAAGAATGCCGCATTTATAATTCAATGACAGCTTGATTTGTTAGATTTGTTCCATTGAATACTTCCAACAAAAAGAATAGATAAAAGTTGTATTGTAACCACTTAACTGGACTGATCAACAGTGGCGAAATGTATTCACAAAAATTAAAGAAAAAAAACCCTCTAATTTTCAAAAGAGAAAATTCCAGGTGAATATTTCTTATTTCTTCGTCTCGGACACATGAAAAGTCAGTTAACGAATATCTCCAGCAAGATGTCTCTACTATTTCACCTTTTCTTTTCTTATCTGAATACTTGAAAACATATTAGAAGTCTACGCTGCATTGCATAAATTCTGAGACAAGCATAAGAAAGTACATTACATTACATTACACCATTTGAATCGCCGTGTATAGAGCCATTTTGCTCCTTTCCGGTTTGGATGGATGGAGGTGAATTTTATTTTTTAGAAAGGACAAAAACAAATAATAAAGAAAAAATAAACATACACTGGACAAAGAACAAACAAAAGAACAAAGTGAAAAACAAAACAAAAACACATAAGAAGGTACCAAACGCATTAAAATGTTTCGAACAGAAAATGAAATTGCGAGTGACCAAAGGAATGGGAAGCAACACGAAAGAATTATAAAAGATGAACGCAGGAATTACAAAACATGAAAACATGTTAGCCCTATATTGTTTTAGAATCATAAAGGAAATGGGCAGCTCGAACAAACACATAGGATTCTAACGCCTGTTTTGCCAGAGACTTCTCATGAAGATCCAACTAAATGATTCATGTTTTTTGTCAGTGTAAGGTGAGTAGTTAATGGTACGACTTCGAGATGCACGATGAATAATCCCACGTATTTTGAGCACGAAAATGAAAAATAAGGACGTGAGGATCGATAAAGGTACTAAATGCAGAGTCCTAATATCACAATTTGCAAGAACATGATTGCATTAAATACGACGCTAAAAGAATCTTCCCCGTGCTCCAAGAAGAAAATAGAAGTCAGTTTTAAAAGAAGAGAAAGAAGTCTAATGTCTATAAGCTGAAGGACTAAGTTGCAAATCATAGGACCCAGTACGGGACAGGTCTTACATTGAGGGCTAAGTTATGTGGTTCTTTCAAAACTATAACTGACAAACCCGATGGCCGATATGATCCTGAAAAGGTCGGATTCCATGACGGGTCTAACAAAACATCATTTACTGCTGCACATATGAAACCATGGTCAAATGACTTATAGCATTGAATTTAATAGTGTAAAGAACAAGAAACGTTTCTTTTATATATTTATCGAGATTCACCCGTGAATCGGTGTGATTGCTGATGGTGGTAGCCAGCCGAGGTCGTCTGGCCAAAGCATAGATTGATAGACACTGACCAAACCTACCGTAAAGGATGTAAGCCCGAGCATGGGTCGGTGGGGAGAGAACAATCCAAATGAACAGCAAATCAAAACTTTTACAATCATTAATATTTCACTTAAAATACCTAAACTTTAACTCTTCCAAGAGCACAAACAGTTAAAACTCTAAAATACACATAAATCAGAACCTTAAAATAAAATACAAAAATACACAATTACACAATACACAGCAAGGAATATTAAAAGTTTAAATAGAATAAAAACCACTCTGCAGAGAATGAAAGACATAAAAACAATCAAGAGCAGCTCCGAACCCAAAAATAAAATTTAAAAAAAAAACATCACGAACAGAAAAAGACACAACATACACTTAAACAGACGTATAAGAAAAACCAAGCCAAAGGATAAGCGAATTTGTAGAATGATGGTAGATCTGTAGAGTTATCTGCTTCGACCGGTCATTTAGATTTTACCGGGTGGCTAGTGCCAGGAAGGGTTTTCTATATACATAACCCACCCCCACCGAGAGGCACGAGAAATAACCGGATAAACAAGCAGGTTCTTGCTTCTCTAGGGAATTAGTAATAGCACACTATTAGGGTGAGCTACATCCACACCGTTCACGGGATTTACCACCTGCTCGAGGCAATGGTCCGAGCCGGTAATAGCATTAAGGACTCCAATCACAGTTCCCGTGTTAACTTGGAGAAGACTACCATTCAGATAACCACAGGCGCTGACGCAGGATAGGACAAACCGTGGTTATCAAAGGCCATACCATGCTGAAAGCACAGGTTCTCTTCTGATCACAGCAATTAAGCAGCATCGGGCATGATCAGTACTTGGAAGGGTGACCACCTGAGAATAACTCATGCTTTTAGCAGTTTTTTCGGCCGACTCGTAACATGCTTTCTACCCTTTAGGTAAGCAGGGTCGCCGTGGGCAATAGAAACACAGGAAGGATAGCTCACTTGTGGATACCCTACTTGCGGTTGTGTTTATGCATACTGTACTATAGTATTTAGTGCTCTGAGTTTTGTTGAAGTGTTTAAACAAACAGATGGTAAAGAAGTCGTAGTTTATTAAAAAGGGATTATAATAAAGGAAAAAACGCTAATCAATCCTTAAATATGACATGAATAAACACCAAATTAAAGAAAAAATTCAAACTGCAACAGATTCCGCAAAATTGGAAGGAATAATTTGTACATGAAATCTAACCAAAGATAGGCTACTTGGGGAGTACAGTAATGAGGATGAAATGAAAAAGTTGAAGTGTGATATTGAACAAAATGGGATTTCCATAGAAGAATTTGAAATAAAAAGACGAACAAAACGTAAGCCAAATATAATACGTTATATTATAGAAAATAACCCAAACAGTAGATGAGAGCCTAAAAATTCCTTAGTACAAAAATAAGGAACTAGAAAATAGTGAAGTGTAACACAAACATGAAATAAAAACAATTAAGGGAGCGAAGCGAATCATATATGTAGATCTTTCGTCTTTTTTAGCAAATAATGAAATGTATTACATATCGTCACAGGAGCCGCATGTAATGCGGGCTATTATGTGGTTGACTTCAGTGCCCAATTTTCTGTCGTTACGGCCGATCTTTCAGAAACACCGGGTGGATTTCTTTCACAATGAGGAACGACTCTTCAAAACATTATGATATGTTAAATATTTCTGTTATGTTTATATGTTTTTTCTTATATGTCCATTTGTTCTTAGTTACGTTCACAACTGTTTAAATTCTTGTTCATTGTTAATTTGAATTCAAAATTGTTAAAAAGACTAAGATTGTAAGGTTTTTTTTAAAATAAATTTCCACATATACCCAACCAACCGACAGGAAGCAACCCTGGCTCCGAATTCGGGTTTTTTCTGTGGTGATAAAGATAAAGAATCACCGAAAGGCTTCGAGTTAGGTCGGTGTGTTTCGATATGTCAAAGAACTAAGACAATATGGGTCTTTAAACAGGAAATAGTTTAATGTTTTGGCTCATCCAAGAGAGGAATTTTCTTCGGAAAAGAACTAAGAAAAATTTTCAAGATAATACTGACCCAGCTAAAACAACTAGAAAAATAATTGGAGTAAAGAAAATTTAAAAAGGAGAAGTTCTGATAAATTCACAGACATCACAGGATATTGATAAACTAATCGATGAATTCAAGGAAACTGGTAGAATCGAGACAGGATTAGAAATTATAAAGTCGAAGTTCGAAAATCACTGCATAACTATTTTTAATGTCGATAATAATTTTCTATAAAACAATGTTCTATAGAATTTCAAGACTGAACAGCAAGAACTTGACAATTGTCTAATGGAAGTCAAATCATCCTTTAAGAATCGTTTTGAACAAAATTCGATAACATTTATGGACCCTCTTTTTTATCCATAAAATTTCTAAAAAGAATCAAATTAATGTGTTTGGGAATAGAGTTAGTTTTAAAGAAGTGAAAAGGATGATCAGGTTACTCTTATATTTTCCAAGAAAGATAAAAAAATAACAGAATGTAAGAACGATACAAAATGTATTAACTATCTTAGATTTAACGAAATATTTAGACAAGTTACGATAAAATCATGCCTCAAATGATACAAAATGAAAATTAAAAGAGAAAGAGACTCATATTCCACAAATAAGAATAGCATTTGGCAAGTAAACACGAAATGTATGTTTTTCTAAATATGTGCATTTTCGGTATACATGTCGAGCAATTCTGTGCTGTCTCAGGATATTAATGAATTTGGCTATGATATAAAATCTGTTAATAAGCCATACAGCTTTGATTAAAAAGTTACGCTTTTATAAGAAATATCGAAAATCTTTTTCTGTTTTTAAACCACTGGTAGAATTGCTATAGGAAATAAAGAAAGATCCAATAGAAAATGATAGAATATTGGCGACTGTTCACAGACAGATTCAAAATTTAACGTTCATAACCGTATCTTTGTGTTGTTCTCCGTCCAATTAATCAAGGAAAACTTTGTACGTATAAAAAGTTTGTTGTTGAAAAATAATTAGAAACATTTATAATTTTCGGATACTTTAATGCAAACCAAATTTATGGAGAAACCGGGCACGTATTTTAAAGGAAACCTTGTAATAGACATGATTGACCATTTTAATTAAAATATAATGAATAATTTTATTCTAAACAGTATTTTCAAAGATGCCATGTTATAAGTTGGATTGATCTAACCATTCTTAAAAATATTGGTCTGACGCACGTAGTTTCTTGAAATGTGGATGATACAATGTATCATGATATAATTGAATTTAATATTTCTCAGGTAAAAGACATATAAAAAGATAAAGCTTCAAAGCTGAAAACTTTAGCAAGTAAATTATATCTACTTTAAGGTCCATCTTACTAGTTTCATGGGAAACTATAAAAGAGGAGCGTCAAGCTCTCTGTATATAAAACAATAGGGTATGTGACAAAAAACAGAAGTTAGCTATTCGTTTGACGATGGTAACGAACGTTTTGTTTACATAACAAAACCGGTAGCCATGTTAGGCATAGCCTGTTACAATACCGGTCGGGAGTAAAACAACTTTTTCAAGAAAATAATAAGTTTTAGACGTAAAGTTCACAAAATTTCTAACAATATAATGAAACATTGAAGGAAATTATTCAAAAGAGATCAGTCATATGGTCATATGGCGCAGATGGGCTAAGGCGAGATAGAGGATGTTCAAATCAGTGTCGAAATAGTTTAAATCAAGAGAAAGGGAAGTAGTGTTAAATTCTCAAATTGATATGAATATAATGGTGCTCACTATTGTGAATATTGTATATTTGATACTTTTACATTATAAGCACCCATTTGACACCTTTTTCTGTCTTGGCGAATTTTCTTGGAGAGCTCAATCGCCATCTCGGCTCTATTTCTTTCTTGACGATAAATGCCTCACGATGTATTCTTGGCGATCTGAAGCGTCAAGAGCCAGAAGGCGCCAATTTGGCCTGAAATGTATGGTGTGTGTATAACGGTGTGCAGATGATCTGCTCCGGATCAGCAAGTATTCATTGAAACTGCAAAGAAATCCAAGCTAAAGGAATTTAATTTTATCATGAAAACAACAAAAAGATAACAAGAAAAGCTGGAAATTACATTAGGTTAAATAAAGAGCTAGAAATTATGAGGATTAAGACAAGGAAACTTAGGAAACAGCCTATGAACAAAACGAGGAGGGGGAGAAGATAATTTTTAGGAGAGAATGGCCAGAAACACATGAAGTTGAACAGATGACAAAATGAATAATTTTAGAGAATAATTAGAATTTTATTATTCAGTTGCTGTTCTTAAAACAAATGTTTCCCACTCGTTTTGGCAGGATTAAAGAAGATACAGTAAGGGTTTGGTGAACTTCAGTCTATACGCACTAATGATTCGGCTTACATCCGAAGAAAATATGCTATAGATTTTAGAACACCATTTTCCAAAATTTCTGGAGTTTCGGTTTATTCTAATATGAAAGATGTATAGCACCGAGAAGAAATTGTAGTGAACACTATTGACATGAATAAATGGATAGAGACCCACACTGACCAAACCTACCCTAAAGGGTGTAAGGCCGAACACGGGCCGGTGGGGAGAGAGAAGTCCAAATCAAGATCAAATAAAAACAATGTTACAATCATTGATAGTTGAATTAAAACACCTAAATTTAACTCCCCAGGATAAAAATTAGTTAAAACGCTAAGTTTCATATATATCAGAACATTAAAATGAAACACAATAATACATCTTTGCACAATACACAACAGAGGATATTAAAATTTAAAAAAGCTTAAGAAATCACTCTCCAAAGAATGAAACACAAACGTATAATCAAGAGCAGCTCCTAATCACCATCCCTAAAAAATATTACTAACACAAAAAGACGCAACATACACACACTTATAAAAAAGGAATAAAACAAAACAAGGGCAAACAAAAATCCCTCACTCGAAACTACAGCGCAATAACACAACACCCCTCTGACTACCTTTCTACATCCCTACTAACTTAACCACGACAGAGAGATATGACTATAAAAGCAAAGTTACCAATAGATCTGATTGTAAAAAAATGGAACAAGTTAAAATTTTCTTAAAAGGTGTCTAATAGTAAAACTACAAGTTAACCCTTCACTACACACTTTTTTAAAGTGAAGAATAATAATTATTTTCATATGCAAGATTGGTCAAAGAATATAGAAAAAAATCACAATTTTTTGAGGGTGGAAAACATTTTTTTTTTCACTTTGCATATCTGCAAAATTGCGTGTATAAGGTTACAAATTCACTGACACCCTAACGTTAATGTAAAAAAATAGAATATTTTCAATAATAAACACAAAATTATAAATAATCAGATAGGAACTAAAATATAAGAAATGAAATGACTGAAGCTTTCGAAGGTATGTTTCCACAGTACAAATTAGTGTATTTCAGTCAGTTGTGGAATGAACGAAAGCAGTTTTTATCTTTATTCAAACACAAGTTCACTTTGCATTTTTCACACATCACATATGTATAGCCTTTACAGTTGGGATGTTTGCATGTTGTTCTCTTCGCATTCCAAATCGGCCAGTGATTGAGGGGATCTAATCTCACGTGTAGGCAATGAAGATCCTTTATGTTTGATCCTCTTAGTCTTTATTGGGTCTGAGGTGCTTGGCCTGCCGCGCCTTTTCAGTTCTGGACCAACCCGGCAAAGAGTTTCCGCTAAAATAGTTCTGAACATCTTTTGGGTCATAGATGGGTCTGTACGATCTGTCTCTTTCAGCATCCTTCGGTAAAGTATCCAGGCATTTATGACAATTGTGTCAACCAGATGAAAAAACAGACGCATATACCAACGTTTGGATCTTACT